AAATGACAACATTACATGACAGGACTACAATACAAATAAATTGAAGAACATACAGGATAGAGAAACACACAAATAAACAATACAATAGAACATTACGACAAGCTAATAGTTATTAAAGGTACCAGGCTTATGGTTAAATACGCCAGACGCGTGTTTCGTCTACATAACACTCATCAGTGACGCTCATGTCAAAGTAGCAAAGACAGCCAAACAAAGATGAAGATAATAGATGACCCAAAAGTTGTGCCAAATACGGTTAAGGGTATCTGCCTTGGATAAGAAAATCCTTTGTACTTAAAATATAACTTTTATGACAAAACTTGAATTAAATTTGGTTTTAGGCATTGAGTGTTATTCCATATGCCTGGTCATATGAGAACAAATATAAAGAAGTACAGATGAATATACAAGAAGCAAAGATTTGATTATTCATGCAGATTCAATACCAACAACCAATGTCAGACCTCGGGATCTTTAGCCGCTGGACTGTTATTGGTTCCACATGGTGTTACAGCATGCGATAATGATTGCAATGCATTATTATACATATATGATATTATTTTACAGTAATAAAGTTCATTTCAGTTTTTCCTGCGAATGTTACTTGAAATGCAATATTGTTAAGATTAATTTCTTTTATATGCAATTAACAGAAATGAAGAAATTAAGAGTTGAGCAGGAAGAAGTTATTCCAAAAAATATCAGAGGTAAATTACCGTTTAATTCAATATTCATCAATTAGGGATGTTATGACAAAGGTGTGTATAATTAAGGCATTCAACAGAAAAAGACGACTTATTAAGGTAATTGAATCAATTGAACTGCATAAATATTACAACACATGATTTACTCCTCTTACTGTACTGTTCGTCATATCTCGGTTTCAAACTAAACTTCAAATACAATACGGTTAACTTTATTGATAAGCAAATCAGTCCATTTTAGTTATCATTTGGTCTGAAATACCATCAAACAAAAATTCCGCGAAATGATTTAATTTATCGACTTTGGCAGCTAAACAATGTGACATCATATGTATGTTTCTGGAGTCAAATGTAAACACCGGGCGTTTTCAGACTTCTTGTACGCCTGACAATGTAATAAAATAAAATAAAAAGAGTATTTTTAGGTGAAACAGAGATTTTTTGTTATTAATGATTGAATAATATAATATTATAAATATTATTATATGGGGTGAAAATGAACAGCCGAAATAATATCGTGCGTATATGGATTTCACGTTTGACAAAATTTCTGTATTTGTTCTAAAGAATCGAAATAATTAATGGCAGCCATAGATTCGTTTTTATTTAACCATTGGTTGGGCATTTATATTCGATTATTTTATCCCAACCCATAGTTAAATAAAAACGATTTTAAGTCTGCAATGAATTTGTTCATAATTTACACAGAAATGTGAAAGTTAACGTTTTTATCAAAACAAAATTCTTTTCGTGACTACTAGCAATACCACCCACCATCAAACTACCAACATCTAGCATAACAGCGAACTTTACCAAACATCAACATCAACAGCAAACGTTCCAATCATCAAGATCAATGAAAAACTGCAACAAAAGCTAACAATTTAGTTAGTTGGTATATTTACAATAACTTCTAACGAAAAGTCAAAGTTCCTTCGGATATTTCAAAGCTAAGCATGCATGTCTGTTCAAAGTTCAATGTCTTTGGTGTTCATGAAGGATATATTGAAATAAGTATGATTCATGTTTAAGTGAAAATATGATTTATTTCGATAGTTGCATTCACATTATTTTTTTTTAAATTTCAGAACAGACAGATAACCAGATTGAAGAATGGAAAAAGAGTGATCAATTGTTTGTGTCTACAAGAGCCAGTGATTACGTCATCAAATGTTTACAGGATAACAGTTGTGTAACTTTAACTGGCTCAGCAGGAGTTGGAAAGTCATTTATTGCAAGACATACAGCACTTGTTTTACAGAAAGAAGGTTACACAATAATACCAGTATATTCACCATCAGACATTAGATATTATTATCAACCTGAGAAACGAACAGTCTTTATTGCTGATGATATATGTGGAAATTTCACCGCAAACCAAAATAAAATTGATAGCTGGGAACAACTGTTACCTATGATTAAAAGAATTGTTAAAGACAAATGTTGTAAGATTATTGTATCCTGTAGGTTACAAGTATATAAAGACGATACGTTTAAGATATTATCTCCTTTTAAATCTTGTGAATGTAATTTAATATCAGATAAGTTATGTCTTTCAACTAAAGAGAAAACCGATATTGCAGTCATGTATATTGGTAAAAATAGTGACAATCTCAATAACGAAGCAAAGCGTTGGGAATTCTTTCCACTTTTATGTTACCTTTATCATGAAATGAAAGATGTTGATGTTAATGACTTTTTCAGCAATCCATTTGATGAGTATAAAAAAGAGTTAGACAATCTTACCATACATGGGATTGAAGGAAAACATAAAGTTTGTAGTCTTGCTTTGTGTGTTCTGTTCAATAATAAACTTGAAGATAGATGGTTCCAGGGTAGAGTAACAGATGAACAACGACAGATTTTAGAAGATACATGTGAGGCTTGCAGGTTAAACAGAAGTACGTCAAAAGGTGAATTAAAAGAGGCACTTGATACTCTAGACGGTACATTTATCTGTAAAAAGAATGGTTTTTATTGTACTATACATGATAAATAGTTTGACTTCCTTGCTCATTACTTTGGTCAGAAAATGATTGAATGTTTCTTAGATCATGTCGATATTTATTTGATATGTAAACGTTTTGTATTGCAGACTTTATCAGATGGCTCAGAATTTTCTATTTTGATAAAAGATGATTACCTAAAAGCGTATCTAAAAAGGTTAATAAAAGACTGGTCAGCAGGGATGTTTATATTCGTTTCTTACAACAGACATTTAAAATATTCATCATTCCGACGGCATTTAATACAGTACCTTCTAAAACTTGACAAATCAAAACAAGTAACATTGGCTAATACCAAGGAATTTTTTCTATATTCCACAAAATCAGATAATTATCCACTGACAAGGGTATGTAAACTTGGTTATACAGATATGGTACGGTGGATATTACATACTGATGTAGATGTGGATCAATGCAGGGATGATAAGGTCACAGGACTGTTAGTGGCATGTCAAGAAGAACACATTGGTATAGTGGAGTTGCTGTTAGAGAATAACCCTAATGTTGATTTGTGTGACAATCATGGCTTTACACCATTGATCAGTTCATGTAAAAATGGCAACACCAGTATAGCCCAGCTATTGATTAAACATAAACCAAACATTAATGCACAGACACATGATGGTAGTAATGCCTTATTTTTTAGTGTACTGCGAGGAAACCTAGAGGTAACACAGTTACTGTTAATTAACAACGCTGACTGTAATATATGTCTCCACAGTAAAGAGTATATAAAAGATATGTTTACCAACCAATATATAGAAGATATATTTACCCACCTTGAAATAGACTTTTTGCCTATCAACACCGAAGTAAAAGATATGTTTACCGAACCTTATATGAAAGATAAATTTATCGACGATGCACATAAATCATTTCAAAAGGAAAATCAATTTATATTAGATACTCTTGTGGACGAATCGTCACCAAATGTAAAGGAATATATCAGGAAGAAAACATTAGATTATGTCATTGAAAAATCAGGCATTCATTTCAGAAAGAATTCATTAAAGTATGGCGATGAGAAATTAGGCATTCATTTCACGGAAAATTGTTCATATTATGACAAGGACAAGTCAGTATTTAATGACAGTGAGAACTTAGTCAACTTTGCCTTTAGTGTAGTAGCTGGCTCTTCTCCATTGCACATTGCCTGTTTCATGGGTAGACAGCTCTAGTCCGTTGTCTTGTAGAACATACAGCTAATATTAACTTGTCAAAAGAAGATGGAACAACACCATTATCTTATGCCTGTGAAGTCGGTCATACTGATATAGTAAAGATGTTGTTAGAAAAGAATGCTACCGTTGATCCATGTGACAATGATAGTTGTACACCACTGATCAAATCGTGTTTAAATAACCACACCAGTATAGCCCAGCTATTAATTAAATATAAAGCAGATATAAACGTCAATATGGTTCATGGTGGTAATGCTTTATTTTTTAGTGCACTGAATGGAAATGTAGAATTATTACAGTTACTTTTAGAGAACAATGCTGATTGCAATGTCTGTATTCATAGTAAAAAACGTATAACATATACACGTACTAACCATGCATGGACAACTTTGAATACGATAAAAAAAGATTTGTGTTGTTCTATTTTGAATATTTCGTCATTGGATGTACAGGAATATATCCTGAAAAAGTCTGAAAAGTCTAACAGGGAAATATCAGTAAAATATCCAAACGGTTCTTGTTCAAAATTGTCCTTTTCAGAGCAAGGGTTCTTTTACAAAGCGTCAGTCATGTATGCATTGGGTGTAGTTGCTGGTTCTTCTTCATTACACATTGCTTGTTTTATGGGTAGAACAGCTGTAGTCCGTTGCCTTCTTGAACATAAAGCTAACATAAATTTGACAAAAGAAGATGGCACAACTCCATTATCTTATGCATGTGAAGTAGGACATAATGATATAGTAAGGTTACTTTTAGATTAGAATGCTTACGTTGATCCACGTGACAATCTTGGTTTCACACCACTGATTACATCGTGTGTAAATAACGACACTAGTATAGTTCAGATATTACTGAGACATAAACCAGAAGTTAATGCCAGGACATTTGATGGTGGTAATGCTTTATATTTCAGTGCACTGAACGGAAACGTAGAAATAACTCAGTTATTGTTAGAGAACGGTGCTGACTGTAATATCTGTATCGATAGTAAAGAACTTATAATAGATAATTTAATTAAACATGCATGGATAACCTTATTGGTGGAAAAACGAAGAGTGTTTAATACTCTTGTGGATAATTCACCAATAAATGTAAGGCTTTATGTAAGGATGAAGTCAATGAGATATTTTGGCAATGACAGTTCGTTAAAATGTATCAAAGATAAATCAGTCGACTATGCTTTTGATGTAGTAGCTGGTTCCTCTCCATTACATATTGCCTGTTTCATGGGTAGGACAGATGTTGTTCGTTGTCTTCTGCACCACGATGCTCATATTAACATTGCTAAAGAAGATGGCACAACTCCATTATACTATGCTTGTGAAGTAGGACATACTGATATAGTACAGATGTTGTTAGAGAAGAATGTTAACGTTGATTTATGTGACAATAATGGCTTTACACCACTGATTAAAACATGTTTAAAAAACAACACCAGTACAGTCCAGCTATTAATTAAACATAAACCAAATATAAATGCCAGAACATTTGATGGAGGTAATGCTTTGTTTTTCAGTGCAATGCATGGAAACCTAGAAATAACAAATCTATTGTTAGAGAATGGTGCTGACTGTAATATCTGTATCAATAGTAAAGAGCATATAATAGATACACTTACCAACCATGTATGGCAAACTTTAGAGCAAGAAAAACAAGAATTGTATTATACTCTTATGAGTAATTCACAATCAAATGTAAGGGATTTTGTCAGTAAGAAATCATTAGATTATGTCTTTGAATTAGTAGCTGATTCTTCTCCATTACATATAGCATGTTTTATGGGTAGGCTAGATGTAGTCCGTTGTCTTCTGGAACATAAAGCTATTAACATTAACATGACAAAAGAAGATGGCACAACTCCATTATCATATGCGTTTAAAGTAGGGCATACTGACATCGTAATGATGTTGTTAGAGAAGAATGCTAAAATTGATTCATTTGACAACAATGGCTTTACACCGCTGATTAGATCGTGTTTCAATAACAAGACTAGTATAGTCCAGCTATTTATTAAACATAAAGCTGATATTAATGCCAGGACATTGGACGGTGGTAATGCTTTATATTTCAGTGCACTATACGGAAACCTAGAAATAACACAGTTATTGTTAGAGAACGGTGCTGACTGTTATATCTGTATCGACAGTAAAGAGCGTATAATAAATACTTTTACCAATCATGTAAAGAAATCATTAAAGCAGGTAAAAGAAAGTATACTATGTTCAATTATGTTGAACAATAGATCACACAAAATAGACGAGTTTGTCTTTAAGAAAATGGCAGATCCTATTTATAGAAAACCAGGTCTCCTGTCTAGGGATTTCGACCTGAAGAAATTAGTTGATTATGTGTTTGAATTAGTATCTGATTCTTCTCCATTACACATAGCCTGTCTTATGGGTAGGACAAATGTAGTCCGTTGTCTTCTTGAACATAAAGCTAACATTAATATGACAAAAGAGGATGGGACAACTCAATTATTTTATGCATGTGAAGTAGGGCATACTGATATAGTAAGGTTACTTTTAGAAAATAATGCTTGCGTTAATCCACGTGACAATGATGGCTTCACACCGCTGATTAAATCATGTTTAAATAACAAGACCAGGATAGTCCAGCTATTAATTAAACATAAAGCAGATATTAATGCCAGGACATTGGACGGTGGTAATGCTTTATATTTCAGTGCACTGAATGGAAACCTAGAAATAACACAGTTATTGTTAGAGAACGGTGCTGACTGTAATATCTGTATCGACAGTAAAGAGCGTATAATAAATACTTTTACCATCGATGTGAAAAAATCATTAAAGCAGAAAAAACAAGATATATTTGATATCATTTTTCTTTATTCACAACATGATGAAATGCATGTTTCTCGTGGTCTCATTATTAACTTTCAAAAATCATTCTTGCATGAAATTATTATGTCGTTCCATCATGACAGGGAAAAGTTAATAGATTATGCATTTGATGTAGTTGCTGGTTCTTCCCCATTACATATTGCCTGTTTTAGGGGTAGGATAGATGTAGTCCGATGTCTTCTTGAACATAAATCTAATATTAACATGACAAAAGAAGACGGGACAACTCCATTAGCTTATGCGTGTAAAGTAGGACATATTGAAATAGTAAAGATGTTGTTAGAGAGGAATCCTTGCGTTGATATATTTGACAATGATGGTTTTACACCACTGATTAAAGCAGGTATGAATAACAACACCAGTGTTGTCCAGTTATTAATGCAACATAAACCAGATATCAACGCCAAGGCATTACATGGTCTAAATGCTTTATTTTTTAGTGCAATGAATGGAAACCTAGAAATAGTACAGTTACTTTTAAAGAGCAATGCTGACTGTAATATATGTTGCGACAGTAAAGAGTATATAAAAGATGCATTAACTAATCACACAAATAAAACATTAAAGCAGATAAAACAAGATATATTCGATATTGTAAATAATTTATTGTCGATAGCAAACGATTACCTACGTGATGAGTCATTCCGTTATAAAGCGATAAAATATAACAGTGAAGAGTCTGTGCATAATGACAGTGAGGAGGCAATAGATCATGCCTTTGATGTAGTAGCTGGTTCTTCCCCGTTACAGATTGCCTGTTTTATGGGCAGGACAGATGTCGTCCGTTGTCTTCTGGAACATAAAGCTAACATTAACACGAAAAAAGAAGATGGAATAACTCCATTATCTTATGCATGTGAATTCGGACATACTGATATAGTAGATATATTGTTAGATCAGAATGCTAACATTAATTTATGTGACAATGATGGCTTTACACCACTGATCAAATCATGTTTAAATAACAACATCAGTACAAGTCAGCTATTAATTCAACAGAAACCAGATATTAACGCCAGGACAGTTGACGGTGCTAATGCTTTATTTTTCAGTGCACTGAATGGAAACCTTGAAATAACACAAATACTCTTACAGAACAATGCTGACTGTAACATATGTTTCTACAGTAAAGAGTGTATGATATGTACATTTAAAGACCATGCAAAGAAATCATTTGAGCAGAAAAAACAAGATATATTTGACATTTTTACGGATAATTCTTCATCAAATGTAAAACACCATGTGACAAAAAAGTCGCTATATCAATTCTGGACGAAATCATTAGATTATGTTAGAATCAGGAAGAAAGCAGTCGATTATGTCTTTGATGTAGTAGCTGGTTCTTCTCCATTACACATAGCCTGTTTTATGGGTAGGACAGGTGTAGTCCGTTGTCTTCTGGAGAATAAAGCTAACATTAACATGACAAAAGAAGATGGAACAACACCACTATCTTATGCATGTGAAGTAGGACATACTGATATATTAGAGATGTTGTTAGAAAAAAATCCTTACGTTGCTAGATGTGACAATGATGGCTTTACACCTCTGATTAAAGCATGTATGAATAACAACACCAGCGTTGTCCAGTTATTAATGCAACATAAACCAGATATCAACGCCAGGACATTACATGGTCTAAATGCTTTATTTTTTGGGGCAATGAATGGCAATCTAGAAATAGTACAGTTACTTTTAAAGAACAGTGCTGACTGTAATACATGTTTCGATAGTAAAGAGTATATAAAAGATGCATTAACTATCCACGCAAATAAAACATTAACGCAGATACAACAAGATATATTCGATATTGTAAATAATCTATTGTCGATAGCAAACGATTATGACATTGACAGAAATAGATTGTTCAAATATGGCAATGAGGAGTATGTAGATTATGACAGAAAGGAGTCAGAAGATTATGACAGAACGGAGTCAGAAGATTGTGACAGAAAGGAGTCAGTAGATTATGACAGAAAGGAGTCAGTAGATTATGACAATGAGTTCTTAGATCCTGTCTTTGATGCAGTAACTAGTTCCTCTCCGTTACACATAGCCTGTTTCATGCGAAAGAAAGATGTAGTTTGTTGTCTTTTGGAACAAAAAGCTAACATTAATATAGCAAAAGATGATGGTACTACCCCATTATTTTATGCATGTGAAGTAGGACTTAAGGATACTGTACGTTTGTTGTTAGATAAAGGTGCAGATACACAGATCTGTAGACTAGATGGGAAATCCCCTTTTGATATTGCAAGAGATAATAGGCATGAATCTGTGGTGATAATGTTGAGAAAACATTCAGAGGATCAGCAGACAATTTCTAGCTAATTTTTTTTTATTGATAGGTCGTTTTGAATTTGAAATACCCATTTACAATGTATCGTTTAAGTTTTTTTCATGATACCAGATCTTTAGTTTTGAAATTTTTGATGGTTGAAATAAAATATAAATACCAAAGAATAAAAACAAAAACACGGAGAAGACATTAGAATTCTGTAATAAATACAGAACCGCTGAATCTTAAGTTTTTTATACCCTTATATTTCCCCAAATGAGTATGTATCATAAATACACAATCTGTCTTGTTAAATTAAAAAAAAAACACATTGATTACCAGCAAATTGTTGAACTGAGCAGGGACTACCGAAGATCAGACATTATCACAAAATGTACAATAAACAACAGAATTATTAAGTGACAATCAAAGATCGTTAATCACTAAGTTGATAAAAAAACAAAAAGTTATGCAATATCAACAGCAGTACGGGTCCAACCGAATGGAGAAACATAAAAGTTAAAAAGGGACATACATATATCTAGTATTATCAATGAATAATTGTATCGTACAACAACCCTTATATATACAAACAACGTAAAAAATGACATTTGAAGATCTGACGTCACCAAAATTGCAAAACCATCAGAACGGAAATAATTAACAACAGAAGATCATTCAACACTTAAACCTGAACTGATACATGCGCACCTGACAGCGTTTATCTTGACTTTAGTTTTATGGTTTAACGGTCAATGTTTAGTTTTTGTGATAAGGTCTGTTTATGAGTCCCTATGTTACCTATTTTTGGTTGTAGAGTGAAAGCTATGTATACATATCCATGTTACAGAGTTCAATAACCTTAATGCAAAAGTTATGATTCATTTGTAATCTGTTTAGTTGTATTAACAGGTTCACAGTAACTATATGATGTAGGTCAACTGTTGTGTGTTTAATAAGAATAATTGTAAGGTGTGCAGGTCTGTCTAACAGGTCCAGTGCTCGTTCGACCATTACCTTATTTTCTTTTTCATTAATAGATATAAAGATTTATGGACTTCGTTTTTTGGAGCATACCAACAAAACATGATAATTCAATAGTTATGTGAACGAAGGGAAGATAAGAAGCACAACCGCAGTAACGAAGCGAAGCATAAGTTAATGCCTAATCACTTTATATTCTAGACATCCATAAAAGAACCATTTAATACAGAAGACCCCATATTTTGGTCCAACGTAAGAACTTCTTCTCTGTCCTGTTCCATACAAAGCACAATAATGTCTAAAAAAAAAAGTCAACGCTACAGATCAAATTATATCATATAGAAGCCATTGGTGTTCAGTAAAACTGTCGGCCTTGATTAAAAGGCATAGGTGATTCATTCAAACGCATTTTCACAAAATAATTGACAGAAAACGCTACAATTGACCTTTAAAGAACCAAAAATGTGTTGTATGTTTTTATACATTCTATATTTAGTCCTTTTTATTGTTTTAGGTTTAGTTCAATGAACATTCTTGTCATTTTCATGAGATAGTCAAGTATAAGCATTATGTTTTTTTCTTGTATTACATATATCTTGCATTTTATTTTATGTTATTAAAATTGTTGGGTTAAATATTAAGAAAAATCTAAATTTTGGTAACTGTAACTGTTGATTTATATTGATAAAAGCAAAAGTAATATGCTCAGTTTACTCTAAAACTTTTAAAATATAATTCATTCGTGTCTGAATTTTTAGTTGCTTGGTTTTTGAATGATTTTTATACGTTGTAGTCAATAATTTTGTGACAATGTATTTTGTAGTTATTTCATTTTTATTTACTTGATGCAGTGGAAGTTAATGAATATAAGATTTTAAAACAAAGTCTAAGGGATAAGTTCCACTACATGTTTTATACCGTCTCGATTTTTAGTTTTATTATTTTTGATATAGTTTTCCATACATTGTAGTTTTTCTTGATGATCCCTGTTGACAATCTGATGATGGCATACTCATACAAAAAAACAAATAATTGTGAATTTTGTCGTTAAATTTTTAAAGTATAATACCGCAAGAATTTCTTTAATATGTTTATGTTTTAAGCCGAAAACGTATCATAAGTCTCCTTTTTAACATTTAACCACAGCGTGCATAAGCGATTCTCGCGCAAATGCGGGTAATCGTGGTTAACATAATCAATGTATCGGACGTAAGTATATTTTCCTACTTTCCTTTATTTTCTGAATTTAAAATGTGTGTTTTATTTGCGATATACTTAAATTTTCAAAGATACATTTGATTCAGAATAGTAGACCGTTTAATCGGATAAACCAAATATTCTAAGTGTTATCGTAGGAATGAAATGCATGCTCCCGTAACGTTTGTTCGTACCTTTTTTTCAAACGTAAGAAAATTCTATCAGGACTGATCTGTCCTTTACCGTTTGAGTCCCCTAAAATTGAGATTGTATTTTATAAATACCTCTTATAGAAGTTTTTTTCAGATTTCAAATACATAAAGCTTAGTCCCTATAATTACATTAGAAATAATTTCGTTCGAGTTTTCTGCTCTTTGGTCGGGTTGTTGTCTCTTTGACACATTCCCCATTTCCATTCTCAGTTTTATTTCTTTCTCTTTTCGTTTTAAAATGATGAGTAGGTACAACTTTACAGAAAATTTTTATTTGTTTGGTTCAATGTCATGGACAAGTCATGGTGCAGTTTGATTATGACCGTATAATGATCATGAGTTGTATATGCCCTTTAAGTTTCTTTTACTTTTTGTTTTTGTTTTTCATTTGAAAGTAATGTTTCCCTTGACAAAGTTATTTTAGTTTCCTATTCATAGAATCTTTTTTAATTCAAATGAAAATAACATTTTGAAAGAATTGTCGTTGATTTCAAGTTTTCTGATACAGGCGGAAATATCTGTATGTTCAAGGACATATATATAATGTCTCATTCACATATACTCCATATCACTGTTTTCACATTGGTGTCTCATTTCTGTTGGTTTATATTGAATATATATGTTTTGTATGTAGCTATATCTATACATTTTTGTATGTAGCTTATTTGATATAGTTTTTGTATGCACCTATATTTGATATTTTATTTTGAATGTAGCTATATTTGATAACGTCACTATGTTAAGATGATTAGATTTTTTCATGTATATGTAATAACATTTATAAGATATGTTTCTAATGAGTGATAAATTGTTTTTTTTTTTTTTCAGTTAACACTTATATCTTCATACCAAAGTTAATATTATAATGTCATTAAAAACACTTACAGTTATTGTTCATTATTCTTGACCAGTGACATTTTAGTTGATGTATTGGAATGATTATGTTATTATAAATCTATACTTAAATTGAAGAATAATTATGATATCAAAATATTTGTCAAAACACTTTGGAAGTTAAAAGTTATGCGCGTCCTCATTTATATCTTGATGGAATATGTAAATTTCCGCAATATCTAGCATATATGTTATCTATTGACATACATTAATCCCGCCTTGTAAATTCCTTTTCCTGCAATCGTCCATCCTATTCAATTATTGTGTTGTATTAAAATTTTTTGTCATGACATTTTAATTTAAATCATTTTCAATTAATGAATGCATCTCCCTCTGAGTCGTTGTCCGTGCACGTGTCTTAATTCACTTTTGGTGTTTTGTTTTTTGGTTACAGCTTTTTAACGTTGTTTAAGGTTTTTGATTTTCAAACATTTTGGCCACTAGCATACATGTACAGATACTACTTTTCACAGTAACCATTACAATAAATACTATTGTTTATAATATCAAACACAGATGCATCAATATACATGAAATATTTGTTTCGAATTCAGATATAGTTTCATAGTATATTGCCTTTATTCTTAGCCAACTGTTATTAATGAACAAAATACATACTGTTTAGTAATCTTGAAATTTGTCTTTGATAACAAAATAGAATAATAAACTGTTATCACAGAGATATGTCTCGCTTTTTTGTAATTTTGATTATGCAAGTGCTGACATTAAAATAGCAATACTTTAACATGTTACATAAATTATGCAAATATTCAAAGTCAATGAACCATGACTGAGTTACATGGCTGATCAATATCCATGTAAAGAGACGTGCCAATGCTAATATATTGATACCAGATATCATTGACTTATTATAAGTCTCACATTTTAAACAAACGCAAACAGAAACATTTACTTGTAAACTATGTAAAAGTTTCAAAGTCAATGAACCAGGAAGAGGGGGTGGAGCTATATTATCTCCATGGAAACAATACTTACAAATGTAAATAAATTTGCATAAAAATATCACTGATTTAACATTAGCAGTTCATCTTAAAGTGATATTATCACAACCTAATACATGTAAACTAAGCAAAAGTTTCAAAATCAATAGACCATGACTGAGGGACAAGGTCAAATACTCTGCATGGAAATGAAATGAGATACAGCTTATACAACTGTATACCAATTAACTTTGGCCTACAACTAATGGCTCCTTTTGAACTGACCTAATCACAGACTAAAAGAGGGACGAAAGATACCAGAGGGACAGTCAAACTCATAGATCGAAAACAAACTGACAACGCCATGGCCAAAAATAAAAAGACAAACAGACAAATAATAGTACAGATGACACAACATAGAAAACTAAAGACTAAGCAACACGTACCCCACCAAAAACTGGGGGTGATCTCAGGTGCTCCGGAAGGGTAAGCAGATCCAGCTCCACATGTGGCACCCATTAATACATGTTAACTAAGCAAAATTTTCAAAGTCAATAGACCATGACTAAGTTGGCGGAGCCAAACAATCTCCATGGAAATGAGATATGCCAATGCTTATACATCTGCATACCAAATATAATTGACCTAATACTAGTGGTTCCCTAAAAACTGACCGAATCACAAACTGATACATGTAAAATAAGCAAAAGTTTCAAAGTCAATAGACCATGGCTGAGGGGACAGGACCATGGAAATGAGATGTGCCAATGCTTATGCAACTAAATACAAAATATGATTGACCTACCACTTGTGGTTCCACACAAATGAGACCTAATCACCATCTAACACATTATTGACGCCGCCGCCGCCAACGCCGAAAACACAAGCGAGACAAAAATGATCAAAAGACAAACTCATTAGCCCGACGTATGCCTAACCAATAAAATAAAGAAAGAAATAATTATAGCAGAGAGCAACAAACACCTACTACTTATAGGTACCTTATTTAAATCGACATCATAATTGTTGAGTTCATGTATAGATATTTAAAAAGAAAGTCGGTATTCAATTAGGTACTAATTGTGCACCCCTGGTTGACTTATTTTATATTCAGATAAAGCAGAATTCATGCAATACCTTTTGAAAGAAAAAAAAAACCCGTTAAAATGTTCTTACTTTTCACTTTCAGATTTATTGATGATGGCATGTCATTCAGTAGTCCACATTGGCAGTGAGTGTTTGCATCTCATATATATATATATTTGTAGTTAACTTGAAATTCAAGTAATAAAGCAATTCAAACGGACAGATCAACGTTATATTAAAACAATACACGAAAAACTAGTATGACAGACAGCAACCAACACAAGCCACAGGTTACTGCCTTTGGACAGGCACATATAAGCTGTGGCGGGATTTAACACGTTTGTGAGCACTAAACCCTCCCCTTAACCTCAAACGGTAGTAAAACCGCACAACATAAAACACACTGTATAATCAGACTGGTACTAAATCCTAACATCAATACTAATATAAAGATAAAAGACACAAAGTACCAACCTATGAATACTCAAATCTATCGCAACCATTTCACAGTCAATAACTATACAGTAATCATGTTTACCCAGACTAACTTGTTTGTAAGCGCTCCTCTCCTCCTAGTTTCGGACTATCATATAACCCTTCAACAGAACAAACGGAAAATTTATTAACGGTCAAACTATACATGGCGTCCGTAAAATTTTGGTAGCGATGATTTCAACTTCACAACTTGGCTTAAAATTCCCTATAAACAGCAATCCTTTATCAAGGAAATCAGGATTAAAATGCAAGCTCTGGTATATTGTATCATCTGGGAGATATATACTCCATTTGCAGTGTGCGAATAGTTCTACAGGATATCTCCAGGTAGTCTCAACAATGCAATTTTACACTAAGACATTCTCAATTTTAATAAAAAATTTCTATAAATGTAATCTTGATATTGTTGTTAATAGGCCAATTTCTCATATGTCATTGACTCTCAAGGGACGTACAAACACATACGTCGAAATAATAGATTGACAAAGCCATTGCTCAAAAAAAGACTAAAAGAGGAACAACAGTACACAAAACACAACATGTAGCTAAAGACTCAGCAACGCTTGCTTCGGAAAGGTGATCAGATTCTGCTCCACATGTGGCACCCGTTTTGTTACTCGTGTCAGTACAAACCCGGTGATAAGTCTTATTCGGTAGGTAACATTCAGGGAAAAAGGACGGGACTGTAGTTACGACAATTGGTACATATCCGTTGTCATTTGTGAAAC